TTGTCACAAATAAAATTCGAATGGACTTGAGTTTTGCAACTGGCGAATAGGTATCACTAAAGTCAATTTCTTCTCATTGACTATAACCTTTAGCCACTAGTCTAGCTTTGTATGTTTGCACCTTACCTTCAGCATCAATTTTCTTCTTGAAAATTCCTTGCATCCAATGGGTCTAACCCAACAGGCAAGTCAACCAAGTTCCATACTTTATTGATATACATCAAGTCCATTTTAGATTTCATGGCATCTCGCCACCTCTGTAAATCAACATCTAATATTGCTTTAGTGTAGGTCTTAGGTTCATCCTTATCAGGAATCTCAACATCATCATGATCCTCCATGAGGAAGTCAAACCTAGTTAGTTCATGACGAATCCTAGTAGACCCACAAAGTTGAATGTTTTGCGTTTTGTTCAGGCTGTTCATTCTAATCGTGAAGAGGTTCTCTTTCATTGGACTATCCAATGCTCAGAGAGTTTCTGGTACTTTACTCAGAGAGGGAGAGTTAGGTGCAGAAGGAATGACAATCATGCCATTACTTTCTTCATAAGAATCACTTGCTGGTGCGAAGCGCTTCCTATATTACTCCCACTAGCTGAAGGATATCCTCCTAGAGACATTCTTCGACTTAATTCTCCCACTGAATCCTTCGTCAGACCATCTAACAAATCTTCATTCTCTATGTTACTTCAGCTTTCAATTTTATTAGTGCACATTTCTTTACATATGTAGGGCAACCCATATTTAATATGTGAAGAAAATGTCTTTTATTATACCACAACTCATATAGTATGTTTTGCACTAATCAAACTATTCAGAATGCATATTGAGATTTATAGTGTGTACCCTCAAAAGAATGTTTGGAAGAGAAAATGAATTCATCATAGATCTAGCCATGTCTAACAAGGCCATATTTCTCCTTGCAGAACGTCACACTTCTGAGGTGTTCTGGAGGAGTTCATTATGATCGAATTCTTCGATCTTTTAAATAAACCAGAAACTTTACTTAAGTACTCTTTGGCTTGCTATCCTTTTTCCTAGAAAAGGTTTATTAGTCAATTTACTTGAAAGACAAGATTCACAATTTCCATATGACTCAAAGTCAAAAGGTGTTAAATAATCTAATTTATTTAGCGTTGCTATTCTTGTTTCACTAATTTGACCAAGTTTGCAATGTCATAGATAGGTAGTAATTTTTCTGATTACTTAATCGAGATCCTTTTATTTTATTCATTTAATATCTAATATGTCGATTGATAATTAACCATTCATAAGAAAAGCATTTCCACAACAACACCATTTTACGAAAATAACAATTATTATTAGCAAAATGGAAACATAAATCTTTTAATGTCTAACATATGAATGGAAATAATCTTCTTGGTAATAGAAGGAATAAAATAACAATTATTTAATTCTAATCTAAAACCACTGGGAAAATCTAAACTATAAGATCATATCACGTTCAGCAACAACTTTTGCTCAAGCCTTCACGCGTAGGTCAATTTTACCCAGTCCAACTGCTACACTGCTTCTCAGGCTTCTGCACATTTTACAAATGTGTAAGTGATAAGTGGCAACCATGACTAGATTTTGAGCATGCTTTAGGCCCAATTTTCCATATAAATGTTTTTCTTTTGTCGCTAACTAGCGGGAAATCCTTAGTTTTATCATTTTGGTGGTATTCCGCGTGTTTCGTTGTTTTTGGATGGATTTGCAGACTTTGGAACCCGTTTGAAGTTAAATTGGAGTAAAGCTTGAATTTTGGGCAGATTAGTTGGGCCTCACAGCCCAAGAAAAAGGAAAGTGGCGTGTGTTTCTCTCAACCAGCAAACTCAAAAGAAAAAAAAACGGCAGCCAGACTGATGAGGATCAGCGGAGGATTTTTAGGAAGAAAACGGTTCTTAAGCGAAGGAATAGGCAGAAAAAAAAACGGCTGCGGAAGAGATCAAAATCATCTCCCTGATTAGCATTTAAAGAGGAGGAGGAAGAATCACTCGACAACCTTTTTTTTCAGTCGCACCATGCTTCAAGAAAATAGGAGATTAGCAGGCTGGGATTTTTAATTCTTTACACATCTGCACCAGGGGAGAACAAGCCTCAAGTTGAAGAAAAGAAAACAAAAACTGCAGCCGCTAGTTTGGAGAAGAGCACCAGCCGTATGTTCTGGGAAAAAAAAATGCAGCAGCCATAGGTTCTGTTTTTTTTTTCCTAGAAGCAGCAAGATGCATTCAATTTTAATTCTTAAGTCTCATTTGTTTCAGCTTTTTTCACTGGAATAGCTTAGTTCTTTACCCTTTAATCACTTAAGCACTACTAATTGCTCTAGAATTTCATCTCAATTGATATTGGTATGTCAGTTTTTTTTGTGGATTGGAATGCATTCAACCAATTGTGTTAGTTTTTGTGTATCATGTTTGGCTAATTCTGAATGGAGTTTGGATTCGTACAAGTCAAGATTAAAAGTAGTTCTCAAATATTGAATTGAATTGGAATATTATTGCTAGTCACTTTGAGTTATCATATTAGTATTTTATTTTAATAAATAAAAAACTCATCATTTAGAGGTTACTAGTTTCTGTTTAATTGCAAGAGTAGATTTTTTTTTTGGTTTACCAGTTTTTTTACTTCTGTTATTTAATTAATTTCGCCATTAGTACTTTTATTGTTTATTTTAATTTATTCAACCGTTTTCACAATTAATCAATTGAGAAAGCTTGCAATAACTCGAATTAACCGGTGACCGAAATTGAAATCAACGCTTCCTTTCGCCATTCCTTAGAGATATGATACTCGGAGTTAATTTTTCCACCTGGAATGATTACTCCGTTTTACTACAAGATCCAGGTTCTTTCACTATTCCCTGCTCCATTCATGATTATAATTTTAAAAATGCTCTTGCTGATATAGGAGCCAGCATCAACTTGATGCCGGCTTCTTTTGTTAAGAAGTTGGGACTTGGGGAGATGAAACCAACTAGGATGTGTCTTCAACTAGCTGACCGTTCTGTTAAGTACCCAATTGGTGTAGTTGAAGGCGTCCTAGTTCGGGTTGGTGAGTTTTCATTTCCTGTTGATTTTGTGGTAATGGATATGGAAGAGGACTGTGGTACTCCTCTTATTTTGGGAAGGCCATTCTTGGCCACCGCCCGAGCTCTTATTGATGTGTCTGATGGGTCATTGACTCTGAGAATTGGGGAGGATACTTGTACTTTCCGGCTCTCAGAAGTCATGAACCACTCAGAAGTATATGATGAAAGTTGTAATTTTCTTGATGTTTATGACTGCATTGAGGACTATTTGTTTGGGGGGTCAGGTCGGAGTTATATTTCTGATAATTTTGAATGTGCTGAAGTCTTGAGTGCTAGGGTGCATGATGATGATGAATTTTTGAAACATGAGCTTAAATGTTCTGTCGACGACATTCTGGAAGAAGCTTCACAAGAAGCAACAGGGAGTTCTGATATTGATTCTCCTCCAGTGGAGCAACTCCCAGAACTCAAAAAGCTTCCAGAACACCTTGAGTATGTTTCTCTGGATGATGAGGGCAAACGCCCTGTCATCATTTATTCTATGTTAGAGAAGGAGGATAGAGAAATGGTTTTGGCAGTCCTCCGGCGACGCGAGAAAGTCATTGCTCGCTCACTCGGGGATATTAGGGGAATTGCGCCTACTTTTTGCACTCATAGGATTACAATTGAGGAAGGGTTCAAACCGACAGTTCAACCACAACGTCGGTTGAACCCTAATCTGATGGAAGTTGTTAAGACTGAGATCATACGACTGTTAGATGCGGATATCATATACCCGATATCTGACAGTAGTTGGGTCAGTCCTATTCATATGGTCCCCAAAAAAGGGGGAATGACTGTGATCGAAAGTGATAGGGGGGAGCTTTTGCCTACTCGTACTGTGTCCGGATGGCATATGGTTATTGACTATCGAAAATTAAATGATGCCACCCGAAAGGATCACTTCCCCTTACCATTTATCGATCAACTAGTTGAGAGCTTGGCGGGGCATGGGTACTATTGCTTTCTGGATGGTATGAGTGGTTATTTTCAAATTCATGTGGATCCCAAAGACCAAGAGAAGACTACATTCACTTGTCCTTTTGGAACATTTGCCTTCCGTAGGATGCCTTTTGGTCTTTGTAATGCCCCTGCCACTTTTATGAGATGTATGTTGGCTATTTTTGACAAATTCATTGGTAACTTTATGGAAATCTTCATGGATGATTTTTCTATATTTGGTGATACTTTTGATGCATGTTTGACTAACCTGGATAGGGTGTTAGCCAGATGTGAAGAGACCAACCTGGCCTTGAGCTGGGAAAAATGCCATTTCATGGTCCAGGAAGGTGTTGTTTTGGGGCACAAGGTTTCTAAAGAAGGTATTGAAGTTGATAGGGCCAAGGTTGAGGCTATTGAGAAACTACCTTATCCAACAACGGTAAAAGCCATACGCAGCTTCCTTGGACACGCTGGCTTTTACCGTCGTTTTATACAGGATTTCTCTAAAATAGCCCGACCCTTGACCACTCTTCTTGGGAAGGACGTTCCTTTTGTATTCACTGATGAATGTAGAAATGCTTTTGTCACGCTTAAGAAAAAGTTGACTGAGGCTCCGGTCTTAGTGGCACCTGACTGGACGTTGCCCTTTGAAATTATGTGCGACGCTAGCGACCAAGTTGTTGGGGCTATCTTAGGTCAAACTAAGGATAAGCACTTTCGCCCCATCTACTACGCTAGCAAGACTTTGTCGGGGCCTCAGCTCAACTATACCACCACTGAAAAGGAATTTTTGGCTATTGTGTTTGCTCTAGAGAAATTTAGACCTTATATCATTCTTTCGAAGGTAATTGTCTTCTCTGACCATTCGGCATTGAGATAATTACTTCATAAGAATGATGCAAGGCCTAGGCTTCTCCGTTGGGTTCTTTTATTGCAGGAATTTGATGTTGAGATCAGGGATCGGAAGGGGACTGCTAACCAAGCTGCTGACCATCTTTCTAGATTGGATGCTGAGGTGGTGGATACTTTTAGGAAGTTTGAGATTGCAGAATCTTTCCCCGATGAGAGGCTCATGTCTGCCCAACATAGTTCAGAGGCACCCTGGTATGCGGATCTTGCAAATTTCATTGTTGGTAAGATTGAGCCTATTGACATGTCTCGCCATCTGATTAAGAGATTGAGATCTGAGGCAAAACACTACTTCTGGGATGACCCATTTCTGTTTAAAATATGTGCTGACCAAGTAGTAAGGAGGTGTGTGTCTAATCAAGAAGGGAGAGAGATCCTGGAACACTGTCATGCAGGGCCCACGGGGGGCCACCTTTCGGGAGAGCGGACTGCTCGAAGAGTACTTGACTGTGGCTTTTATTGGCCCACTATCTTTAAGGATGCCCATGCTTATGTTTCATCTTGTGACCACTGTCAGCGAACGGGGAACATATCCAAGAGGGATGAAATGCCGCAACATTACATTTTGCCCTGTGAATTATTCGATGTATGGGGCATTGATTTCATGGGACCCTTTCCGAGCTCACGAGGAAACAAGTTCATTCTAGTTGCAGTCGACTATGTGTCCAAGTGGGTGGAGGCCCAAGCATGTTCGAAAAATGACACTCGGGTGGTTGTAAGATTCTTAAGGAAGCTGTTTGCACGATTTGGCGTCCCAAGGGTTTTGATTAGTGATAGAGGTACCCATTTCAGAAGTGACCCATTGGCTCGTACTTTGCTGCGGTATGGCATTCAACACAGATGTGGGGTGGCTTACCACCCCCAATCTCAGGGACAGGTGGAAAACACAAACAGAGACATCAAGTCTGTATTGGAGAAAACAGTTTCCAGGTCAAGGAAGGATTGGTCTGACAAACTTGATGATGCACTATGGGCACTTCGTACAGCATACAAGACACCTATCGGTACAACGCCGTTTAGGCTGGTTTATGGGAAATCATGCCACCTCCCAGTGGAGATAGAGCATAAGGCGCTCTGGGCTTTGAAGACTGTGGTATTTGACCTTCAGGGCGCTGTAAAAGAGAGATTTTATCAACTTGATGAGTTAGAAGAGTGGCGGGCCTCAGCTTTTCACAACAATCACCTTTACAAGGAGCGAGTGAAGCACTACCATGATAAGCACATTAAAAAGTCACGAGAGTTTGAAGTTGGTGATCAAGTTCTGTTGTACAACTCCCGGCTGAAATTATTCCCTGGAAAGCTGCGATCTAGATGGACTGGTCCTTTCACAGTGACAGAAATCTACCCATACGGAACCATTGGGTTGTACAGTTCGGAGAAGGGAAACTTCAAGGTAAATGGGCAGCAAGTTAAACTATATCATGGTGGCCTAGTGAATAAAGAGAAGGAGGTTTTGCACCTCACTACACTTGAGGTATGATTAATTTGTGGTGTCCGGCTGAAGACGTTAAACTTAGCGCTGTTTGGGAGGCAACCCAAGTGATGTTGTGGGTATACCATCAGAAAACCCTCACGAGACCCTCACTCGTCCTCTTGGGTTCACTGAGGGGTTCAAAAGGGCTTGTTGCACGTGCTAAGTGCAATCGTGATCCCTACGAAAGTGGCTTCTTCTATTTCTTTTTTTTTCATCATTATTTTTCAATACCGTTTTAGTGTTGCATCCTTGCTCCCATTCGATGTTCATCATTCTATTGCAGTCATGGTTGTGGCATTTTTTTTGTAGTCATCCACCCTTCCCTTGAGTTTTTGCTCTCTTTGCTTTTTCCCACTTAAACAAGGCATTTTTTTCGTCATCGAGGACGATGTCGAGTTCAAGTGTGGAGGGGTTACATAATTGCTCATGAAAAGGGGAGGATAAGGATTTGTGCATATTTGCCATGCTAAGGTCACTGTGTTAGTTTTCTTCACCCATTATTGATTTTCCCAAATTTTCAAAAGTTTTTGTTAGCTTTCCCTTTTTGCTCCTGTAAAATTATCGTCCCTTCACTTTTTTAATTATAACATTGTTAGCGAATAGAATAACTTACAAGCTTAAATTGCTTAGCTTTTTCTGCATATACTTGAGGTGATAGAGGCCTGTTTGCACCTACTTTCTTTCTCATCCTCTAGTTTTTTCGGTGCATTCAGTTTTGACTCAATAATTTCTGCAAGTTTAGTGTGATTTTTGTATTTATTTTGTATATGTTGTTGCTATTTGCCTGTTTGGGAATTAAGAAGCTGAGAAAGAGTGCAGGTTTGTCTATTTGGAATGGTCTATTTTTTTTGTCAAATGATTTCAACTGAGAAGAACTTGGTGGCGTCTTTGCAAATAAGCCTTACCAGCCGTGAAAAAAAAGAGAAAAAGAAAAGGACAACACAAAAGTGTCTGCTCCAATTCAAATTGATTCAATAAGTGCCAATGCACATGTGTGTGTGAGTTGCTGGCTTTGGTTGATGCAAGGATTGTCGGCAAAGCTTATCTCCCAAAAAGCATACCTTTTTTAAGGGTTTAGATGAGGGGGGTAACCAAGTTTGCTCAAAAAGGGTCAAGAGCTTAATAAGAAGACTTTTCCAAATGGGCATATCTGCAATTCTCAGTCTGATTGACCCAACAGGTATTTTAGCTACAGTGTGTACAAAATACTTACAAACATTTCACTTTTCTTCTCTCTCACCCTCTAAAGTCCTCTTGATCTTGTGTATGAGTTTTAGCTTAAGCTGCTTGTATGCTTCTATCATGACATTGTTGGATTAAATTTGTTGACTGGTTTGGTGCAATTAAAAGAAAATCTAACAAAGATGGTTGAGACTTGGGGAGGATAACTGGTGGTTGTACAAAATTTGCATTAGTTACTCAAGCATGTCATGTTTGCACTGATTATTTTCTCTTCTCGCTGCTTGACGGTTTTGTGCTTGAGGGCAAGCACAACTTAAGTGTGGAGGGGTTTGATAAGTGGCAACCATGACTAGATTTTGAGCATGCTTTAGGCCCAATTTTCCATATAAATGTTTTTCTTTTGTCGCTAACTAGCGGGAAATCCTTAGTTTTATCATTTTGGTGGTATTACGCGTGTTTCGTTGTTTTTGGATGGATTTGCAGACTTTGGAACCCGTTTGAAGTTAAATTGGAGTAAAGCTTGAATTTTGGGCAGATTAGTTGGGCCTCACAGCCCAAGAAAAAGGAAAGTGGCGTGTGTTTCTCTCAACCAGCAAACTCAAAAGAAAAAAAAACGGCAGCCAGACTGATGAGGATCAGCGGAGGATTTTTAGGAAGAAAACGGTTCTTAAGCGAAGGAATAGGCAGAAAAAAAAACGGCTGCGGAAGAGATCAAAATCATCTCCCTGATTAGCATTTAAAGAGGAGGAAGAATCACTCGACAACCTTTTTTTTCAGTCGCACCATGCTTCAAGAAAATAGGAGATTAGCAGGCTGGGATTTTTAATTCTTTACACATCTGCACCAGGGGAGAACAAGCCTCAAGTTGAAGAAAAGAAAACAAAAACTGCAGCCGCTAGTTTGGAGAAGAGCACCAGCCGTATGTTCTGGAAAAAAAAAATGCAGCAGCCATAGGTTCTGTTTTTTTTTCCTAGAAGCAGCAAGATGCATTCAATTTTAATTCTTAAGTCTCATTTGTTTCAGCTTTTTTCACTGGAATAGCTTAGTTCTTTACCCTTTAATCACTTAAGCACTACTAATTGCTCTAGAATTTCATCTCAATTGATATTGGTATGTTAGTTTTTTTTGTGGATTGGAATGCATTCAACCAATTGTGTTAATTTTTGTGTATCATGTTTGGCTAATTCTGAATGGAGTTTGGATTCGTACAAGTCAAGATTAAAAGTAGTTCTCAAATATTGAATTGAATTGGAATATTATTGCTAGTCACTTTGAGTTATCATATTAGTATTTTATTTTAATAAATAAAAAACTCATCATTTAGAGGTTACTAGTTTCTGTTTAATTGCAAGAGTAGGTTTTTTTTTTGGTTTACCAGTTTTTTTACTTCTGTTATTTAATTAATTTCGCCATTAGTACTTTTATTGTTTATTTTAATTTATTCAACCGTTTTCACAATTAATCAATTGAGAAAGCTTGCAATAACTCGAATTAACCGGTGACCGAAATTGAAATCAACGCTTCCTTTCGCCATTCCTTAGAGATACGATACTCGGAGTTAATTTTTCCACCTGGAATGATTACTCCGTTTTACTACAACGCCGAGAAATCGGGGTAATCAGTAAGCCATAAGTTGTGTCTAACACTTTAACAATGAGAGTTAGTTATAGACATATTTATTTATGATCAAAATACCTGAGCTTGAAGCACCCGGTGCTTTGGCTAGATTAGCCTTATACAGCTCACAATCTCTCTTCCAATGTCCCTTATCTTTGCAGTAGAGGCAAACATCCTTTGCAACCTTTGGCTTCATATGACCTCCACCTTTAGGCTTCAGAGCTGTAGGAGTAGGTCCAACCTTACCTTTCTTCTTTTGCTTATTCTTGTTCTTAGAACGAGACTTAGCATTAGAGCTTACCATAAGAACAGTCTTTCCTTTAGAGGTTGAGGCTTCATAAGACTTGAGCATGTTATGGAGTTCAATCATGGTCGCTTTCGTTTTGTTCAAATTATAATTCACAATGAAGTTAGTAAATGAACTTGGAAGCGAATATAGGATGATAGCAGCTGAGACACAGTCCTCAAACTTAATTCCAGTGGTAGCAACTCTTTCAATTAAGCCAATCATTTTGAGGACGTGCTCAGACACGTTGCCACCCTCTTGAAGCCTACACTTGAAAATGTCTGTCAGAAGTTCATACTCTAGAGTCTGACTTTCTGAATCAAATAGACTTTTCAAGTGTTCAAGCATCTCGAAGGCGCTCATCCTATCGTGCTGCCTTTGCAACTCCGTAGACATTGCAGCCAACATGACACATTGCACAGTTTTAGCATCGGTGACGTGTTTCTCTCGATCAGTCAGGTCAAACGTGGCAAACTCAGGAGAGTTGGCATCAGGAATCTTGGGTACCGGTGTGTCTAACACATACTCAATATTTTCTTGTCTAAGAACTAAACGCACATTTCTTTCCCAGTCCAGAAAGTTTGGTCCAGTAAGCTTGCATGTATCCAAGATACTTCTCAATGATAAATTCGACATTCCTAAAAGCCTAGAGAAGTTCAAATAGAACGGGAATTAAAATCATATATTAATTCCAATGATCACATCTAGTTAACTAAATAATATGGACTTTTAATTATTTAGCTCTCACTATTTTTACATGCTCTTTGACCCCAATAAAAGGAACATGGAATGTTTTACAATCATAGTGGCCAAAATCCTCATTCATACTATGACAGTCCCAGCTTGGGCTGATCACTGCAATAGTATAATAGGTAGGTCCCCAGACCAATTGCGTCCAAGCAACTTTTGCTTGATCAATTTTTAAATTATCGACATCCTTAAATTAACACTGACGCTTGGGCGACTCGAGCTAATTTAAGTAAGTTAAAACCATCACACGATCACAAACAATTGTACCTATAAATTAGTTCTATATTTTGTCGAATAGAATAAACACTTGGGTGAAATATTCTTCAACGAAAAAATATTTCTACTAATTTAATTATGATGGGTGATGTTGTTATCCCAGATAAGACTTAAATTTTAATTTATGGGGAACGTTTAGCGGGTATTAAATTACTTAATCAAGATGCTAAAACATATTATCAAATAATATGTTAACGAGATCTAACTCAGATAGATAAATTAAAGCATGCAATATAAATCTAATTTATAAACAGATATAAACATATAGTAGACGAATGTCAATAACATAAGCATGCTCAAAAAATCATAATAATATAATTATTGAATAAACCAAGTTTATTAAAATTAAACTTATTCAATCTCTAAGATATTTAATCTAATTAAAATAAGGTTAATTTTAATACTTAACTAATATTTAAAATATGTCATTTTTAATATTAATTAAAAAACAAGAAGTATCGCAGGTCTCGATCACGTGAGAAAACCCATGAACAAGCAGCGGTCAGGTAGAACTCCAAAAGTCCTAATCCCACCAGTTCTCAACAATTTTAATTTGCAAGAAGTATCGCAGGTCTCGATCACGTTGGCGACGAAGGAAATCAACAGGATGACATAAAGGTGGAGGTAGTCATCTAGCGCAGGCCTCTCACGGAGACAATTCTTCAGAATTGAGATAGATCTTCCGGTCGATAAACAAATTTTAATTTCTAAAATCAAAATTACTTCAATATTAAATGGCCGAACAACTCCAGATTTAAGGGGGAACAAAATTAACTCACCACAAGAAACCCCAAAAACCCAAACTCTAATCAAGCTGTATTTTTCATACGTCTGCAACAATTTTCCTCCCTTTTTAAAATTCCCAAAACTTTTAAAATTTACCAAACGAGCAGATCGGAAGAAGAAGAAAAAAATCTTATTCATTTTTCTGTGCTCGATGCTCCTATGCAATTAGCAGATCAAAAAGATAAAACTCCAAATTGCAAAACAGCGATTTTACTTTCCAAAATCAAGTCGACAAAAAAAAAATATGATCTGCGGTAAAACACATATTTGATCCACACAAATATCAATCTAAATTCGTATAATGTCATTAAAATCAGTTTGTCTCTGATACCACTATTAGGAAATTGATGTAACGTACCTCGAAAGTACAGCAGCGGAAGTTTAAAAAATTTCCCAAACAGATCTACCCTGATTATGACAAAACAACGAATATAACAATGATAGTAGATCTGAGTCAGAACTTACAGATCTTCCAGCCTAGATGTGATAATCCTTGACCTTAGGTATCCACGTGATTTCTCCTTTCCGAAATAACGGTTAGATCTCCCTAAGAGAAAGGCTGGGAAATCTCTTCGCATGGAAATAAACTGGTAATACTGAATCTGAAGACTGATGTATCAATTATGAAGGAGAAGGATGTATTTATACTAGTTCTAAACTAGTCTCCCAATCACTATGAAAGTCTTTCTAATTAATGAGTCCTAATCTCGCTAGGACCAATACTCCTTATTAATTAAATAAGTAGATAAAACAAACCAAAATAATAATAATAACCATAATAGAGAAGTGGTCTTACGCCACTCTCTATTTATTATATATATTATTATTTAGTTTATTTATTTTTCTTTTTAATTCTAAATTATAAAAGAAAATATCAACTTTATTAAATAATAAATACATATTAATTAAGTATAATAAATCTAATTTATCACACTTAATTAATTCTATCAAATAGAACACTCCTTCAACATCATGAATTATATATATTTAATCTAATTAATATTTAATCCATTTTCAGTATTATGAATTAAATATTATTTAATCCAATTAATAATATTTAATTCCTTCTAACAATTCAATCGGAAGGTATAATCACTTATTGTGAGACCCATAGGGTCTTATATATTAAGCACTAATCAAATTAAGGTCTTAGTAGAATCCCTAGATGATTTACCAGACAATCTTAATATATAAGGACGTTTGCGAGGACTATTCAAACTCCCTGTAATATAGAGCTCATAGTGATACGGTCCTTTCATTCAGCGAACATTTAACTAAGTCTAGAACATGATATAGTGTCTATTCCAATAACTTAGTTTCTGTCTCTCAATCCTTCTAGATGATCCATAACGATCATATTCGATATCCAAAACGAATATATCTTTGCATTGGCCAATGACTTTATGATCCATCTAGATATGAGAAGTAGAATGTTCTCTCTTAATTTATTATGAGTAATGAATCCTTTCTTGGCTCAACTACTACTCCATGTGTTTTGTGATGCACCCAACACATGCCGTATCTACCCCGATTGGAGTGCAAGCGTTGGTCATGGTCAAAGTACATCACTCCGCACATGTAGTACATATTGACCTCAAGTCGGAGGACTATTACACTACTCTATACGCCGATAATCCCATAGACACATGAATAGAACTTATCAAATGGTTTCTCAGTGGGTATGCCAATATTCTCTAAAATATCTATGTGACCATCATGAATTACAGGAACTCATAGTCGTGAGATCAACTATACTTTCTAAAAATATGATGCAGTCCACATACCAATCTTATCGCATATCATCAATATCCCATTCTTGATGATCATTGATTGGGGCTTTTTTAGGACCTTATGTTATATCATATAAGCTCCCACTTACTTATTGACAACATAAGTCCAAGGGAACACAATTATGAATAAGATATTGACAATCGAAATACTTAATTATCAATGTGTAATACCGTATATATCAAATATATAAAACTGAATGTGATCAAGTACATATATCTCTAAAAAGTGATTGTCGCTAGGACATATATACTAACAATGTACTCCACCTCATTGTTGGAGACTTTGAAAAGATAGCGGTAGGCATAGTAGGCTCGGAATCCCTCGGGTGAGATGAGGACGATTCCGCCCCCGCATCCCTTGGCTCCTGCCGACCCATCAGTCGCTAGAGTCCACCATTGTTCATTGCTCTCCTGTTGCCTATCTGCCACTTCTCGGGCCGTGCATTCCACAATGAAATCAGCCAGAGCCTGGCCTTTGATGGACGTCCGAGGCTGGAAGTCAACCTCGTATTAGTTGAGGAGCATCGACCACTTCACTACCCGGGTTGTGTCGGGCGCCCTCAGAGCGGCACCTAGGGGTTGGTCCGACAGGATTCTGATCGGGTGCGCTTGGAAGTAGTGTGTCAACTTCTTGGCGGTGATGTAGGCAGCATATATTGTCTTCTCGAGCGGGGTGTACCGGAGCTCAGCATTCTGGAGGGTCTTGCTCACATAGTAGACGGGACGTTGAACACCTTCCTCCTCGCGAACCAGCACGGAACTGATTGCGCCTTGGGAAACCCCAAGATAAAGGATTAACGTCTCCCCCCTCTCCGGCTTGCTGAGTAAAGGCTCAGAGAGGAGCTACTTCTTCAGGTCGTCGAAGGCTCGTTGACACTCATCATTCCAGACGAAACCATTTTGTTTCTTTAGGACCTGGAAGAAGGGTAGGGACTTTTCGGCGGACTTGGACATGAAGCGTCCGAGGGCTGCTAGCCGGCCGGTGAGAATCTGGACTTCTTTCACTGACCTCGGGGGTTCCATGTCAATTATTGCCCTTACCTTCTCAGGATTTGGCTCAACCCCCCTCCGTGTGACCATGTACCCCAGGAACTTGCCTCCTTGGATGGCAAAGGTACATTTCTTCGGGTTCAGGCGCAGACGGACTGCCTTCATGATCTCGAGGATCTCTACCAAATCTTCTGCATGATCGGACGCCCGGGTGCTCTTGACGATCATGTCGTCAACATACGCCTCCATGTTCCTTCCGAGCACCTTCCGGAATACCTTGGCCACCATCCTCGTGTACGTCGCCCCAGAGTTCTTCAGCCCGAAGGCCATGACAAGATAACAAAAAATCCCCTCTGGGGTGACGAACGAGGTCTTCTCCGCATCTTCTTCATGCATGAAAGTCTGATGGTATCCTCGAAAAGCGTCCATGAAGCTAAGGAGCTCACATCCGGCCGTCCCATCGACTAGTTGGTCGATGTTAGGCAATGGGAATGGATCCATCGTACATGCCTTGTTGAGATCGGTGTAATCAACACACATCCTCCAGGTTAACGGCTTCGGGGCGAGGACCACATTTGCCAGCCAGACCGGGTACAAGACCTCCCGGATATGCTTGATACTCAGGAGCATGTTGACCTCCTTCTTCACGAATTCCCTCCTCTCGGTTGAGAGGTGTCTTCTTTTCTGCTGGATGGGCTTCGCCGTTGGATTGACCGCCAGCCGATGGACAGCGATGCTTCGGTCAAGGCCAGGCATGTCCTCCGGTCCCCACGCGAAGACAACGCTAAAAAGGACAAGTACCTGGATAATCTTCTCCCTCAAGCCGGCCGGGAGCCCGGTCCCGATCTTGACCTTCCGCTCCGGCCTCTCGGGGTCAATCTGGATCTCCTCCACGTCTGAGGTGGGTTCAGCGCGGAGCTGACCCTCCTCATACTTCATGGCTTTGCTGTTGATAGTGTGGACCCTCAAGTCTTTTTGACCGATTTGTTTGCAAGCTTTCAGATAGCAGCTCCTCGCCATTCGCTGATCTCCCCTGGCGACTTCGACGCCATTCGGAGTGGGAAACTTCATGCATAGGTGCTCCTGGGATATCACACATCTGAGGTCTTCAAGGCCGGCCTTCCCATGATGATCTTATGCGCACAAGTTAGGCGTACGACGATAAACTCGACGTCTAACTTGGATACGCAGGGCTCGGAGCCCACCATCACGGGGAGGACTATGCTACCCTCCGACTCAATGGAGTCCCCGGTGAAGCCCGAGAGTGGGGTTCTCACCGGGATCAAGTCTTTTCGGTCCAGCCCGAGACCTTGGAAGGTGTCATAGTACATGATGTTAACGGAGCTCCCATTGTCCACCAGGACTCGGTGGACGATCGTGTTGTTGATTTCGACCTTGATGACCAAGGCATCCCTGTGCGGCGGAGGCATCGGTGGCAAATCTGCGTCGGTGAAGAAGATGGGGTCCCTCTTCACCCTCTTGTCGGCGGGAGCCCTGGTTATCTCCCCGACGTATAGGGCTCGGGCCCACTGCTTCCGCTCTCCAGATGTGTCGCCTCCCTGGGGTCCCCCGAATATGAATGAACATCGATGGTACTTCTGGGGGCCGTTCCCTAGGTCGGCATCGTCTTCCTCGGAGAAGGCGCCGAGCTCCCGCTTCTTGGCAGGCAGTGTCTCCTTTGACGTGGTAGCTTGGTCGGACCGCTGCCACGTGAGGCTCCTCTTCTGCGGGATGCCTCCTTGTTTGCCAACGAATTGGCCCAGGTACCCTTTCTGGATGAGTTCTTCAATTTGCCGCCGGAGAATGACGCAATCATCTGTATCATGCCCTGCTCTCCGATGGAATCGACAATATTGGTCGTGGTTGCGCTTGGCAGTCACCACATCACACTCCTCCGGAAAGTCGACTAAACCTTGCTCCTCCGCGTAGTCGAGGATGGCCCTGACCGGCTGAGCAAGTGGAGTCAATTGCTTGACGGGCTGTAGCGGTCCGCTCAGGACGTCCGCCTTGCCCTTGCCTCTACTTTTGTTACCTTTGTACTTGTTGTTTTTGTTGCTAGCTTTGCCGTCAGCTTTCTCAGCACCCGAACCGGCTTCCTTCTTCTTTTCTTCTTTTGCACCTTCATCCTCATCTCTTTTCCTCTGCAAAGCGTCCTCCGCCTCGGCTTGCCGGTCGGCACGACCGAGCGCCTCCTCGTACGAGGTGGGGGGACTTCTGACGAAATCTTTGTAAAGCTCGCCCGATCGGATAGAGTTTGTGAGCATGGCCACCCCGGTCCTGTCATCAAGGCCCTGAACCTTGACTGACTCGGCCCTCCACCTCGCTAGGAAGGTCGACAATGATTCCTTCTTCCCCTGTTTTAGGCCGAACAGGTGGCTGAAGTTTTTCTTGACGTATCGGGAGCTCGCGAACCTCAAGAGAAAGCGCTGAGCCAAATCACGAAAATTTGTGATACTCCCGTCGGGTAGAGAGTCATACCATTCACGAGCTGGGCCATCCGAAGTGGCGGAGAAACCGCGGCATCGGATGGCGTCCTCGTACCCCATCATGACCATATAGGAAAGGTACCGAGATACATGATCTTGGGGGTCAGAAGCGCCCTTGTATGCTTCAATGGCGCAGGTCTTGTAGCCCCTCGGCAACGGCGCATCCATGACCGCCCGGGTGAAGGGTTCGGGTATCCGGAGGTCAGCCGTGTAGGGCTCCCCCCCGACGACCTTCCTTCTCAACTCGTCAAGGCGCTGTCGTAGATCTTCCACCTCGGTCGGCGGTGGGTTCTGCCGGAAAGCTCCAGCGCGGGGCTGAGCATGTCCGG